CTGACGCTGCGTGAGTTTCCTGACACACAGGGGACACATATTTATGTATAAAAGACATCAACAAGTGTATTTTGCTTGATAGGTCCCCTTTAAAGTAACACCCTGATTGATCTTAATTCTAACATAATGCTTTGAACTTCTTACAGAGCTTCCGATCTCTACGGGATATTTACAACATCCCCCATTAGCCACATATCTGAACCAGGATGTCAGTGCAGTTCTCCGGCTGGGAGGTGATTGACGATGGTGCTTCTTTTCCTGGTTTGGAGCTGGACTCGTCCCAGAAACCCCGAAGCAAGGGCGTCTACACCATGTACCATGGGACCAGCATCACCAGCGCACGAGTCATCATTGCCAATGGTTTTAAACAGTCTTCAAAGGGCATGCTGGGAATGGGCGTGTATGTCAGTCGTAATATAAAAAAGGCGACAGCTTATCCTCTGAGAAGTAATCCTACGGACCGAGTTGTCCTTCAGGTACATGTGCGCGTGGGTCGTGTCAAGCGCATTGACAAGGACAACCATCCCATGCAGCAAACATGGCACTCACATGGCTACGACACTGCTTGGGTGCCCCCCAAAGTTGGCCTCCTAGCAGTGCGCAGTGGCCTGGAGGAGGACTGTGTGTTTGATCCCAAAAGAGTGAAAGTGGTAGGCATCGCAAAGGCACCAAAGGATTCCATACAGAAAGAACTTCAAGAGCTTCTGATACAATCATGTGGAAGAGGAGGTGAGGGTGCTGCAGAGGTGTGTTCACTGTGTAAGAGGAAGACCCAGCAGGGCGCTCCACACATCAAGCAGCAGTGCTGGGAGTGTGGGGAAAACATCTGCATTCTCATGTCCAAGCATTTCTGTCCAGCCAAACCCTGACGGGGTGAGGGAAGGGGGTGTTGATGATTAGATTTGACTCTGATATTGATTAATTTTTCAAGATTCAAGACTTTTATTGTTATGTTGATGAAAATCTTAGGTATCAGGCTCCTCCAACAGAGCAACACAATAAAACAGTGAAAATAGTGCAAGTAAATACAATAAAATAGGATAGAAGTAGTGCCATAAGAGTCTAGTGATACATAATCCGTAAGTTGCAAACAGGTGAATGTTATGGATGTTCTTAGTTCAGGTGTTTAACAGTCTTATGGCCTGTGGAATGTAACTGTCCCATAGTAACATGTTTAAATATGTACTGCTCAATGTATTTTGGGGATCTTTTGTAAGTTATCTATAAAATCTCATTCCTGAATTGTCTCTCATTTAAAGTCAACATCGTTTTATAGTTCTACATATTATATATTTTATTGATTACGCTCTCTTATTAGTATACAATTTTGAACACATTTGACATTCATTTGTTTGGGATATATTTGTATGTAAAACATGGGACTAAAATAATTTGCGAGAACTCAAGCCAATAAATGTCATTATAATCTAATCGAACCCATCATGTATTTTTGTTTTATATGATTCCATGTTAATAGACTCAGTAAAGCTCATTTCTATAGTGATGCCTTCAGATAAAGCCATATCTTTCCTACTTGTTATCATTATGTTGTGTAGTGTGACAAATATTAAGTGGCATTTGAAACACTTGCTTTAACGAGTCCCAATAGGACATGCAAATAAATAAGAGAGTCACAAAGTGGTGCTGAAAAGAAACACGTTGGAAAATATTTAATTCCATATTGTGCTCAAAGGAGACAGCATCCCAGCTGCAGCCTGAAGTCGTCTAAAACATGTCTCTCCAAAAACCCCATCCCTTAGGCTATAGGCGTTCATAACACGTTGGTGGTCCAGAGGTCTATGCATTGAATTTTCATGCAGGTGTTTGAGGTTCAATCATCTGTTGTCTCCTGCATACTGATGTTAAATCTGGAGAAATTGTTCCCACCACTTTTTCTAACAAAGTGATACCCATGAGTGGAGTATATGTAGACGATTTACCTCTGAATTGTAGTGGACAAAGTAGCAAATAATTGAAATATTCAGGTAAAGTAGGCCTATAACTCTCTCAAAATTGTACTTAAGTACAGTACTTGAGTAAAGTTACTATCCACCACTGAAATCCACTATAACCCAATTGCATTGAGCAGTGGCATTTTATAATAAAGTGATTGTATGTCAATTGAAAGTCCCTCCTCAAAACCCACCTGTTCAGATCCGCCTACTCACTGTAGTGCTCCCTATCATCTGTTTCCCCTGAATAACCTACCTATCATTTGTGTCCACTTTAATTGTCTTCTCCATTATGTTGTGTTTTTATCATGTTCTGTTGCTTTTACCTCTTAGAATATACACATTGCATGGTGTTCTTGGGTGTCATGAAAGGTTCAATGTATTATAATAAAGTGTGTATTAA